TCTCCACCATCATCTCTGGTGCACCAAATTCAGATACCACAGAGCATTTTAAGAATAACGATGCCTTTTGCACCAATTCATTTCTTAATGCCTTAGTAAAGAAAATGCCCCCCATGCTTACCATAGGGGTCTGTTTAGATGATATCTGAGCATATTTTGTTAGCTAGAGTCTAAAATTTCTATCTTCCTCAGCCCACTGATTTCTTATTCTACAAGATACCAGGACAGTTCCAGTTTTTCAACTTCATTGACCATAGNCATGGAGTCTGACATTGGAGCATTACTGTATTCTTTCAGTGGTGTCATTTCTTCTTGTTTATTTGTAGTTCTAGTATTTTTTCATTGACATTTGTTCATTTGGCAGAGGGTTTGCTTCTTCTGTTAAACTGAGGTTGGCTTTGGAGTGGCCCTGGCTGCTACTGTGGTGGTGAATTGTTTTTGCTTGACGGATGGTGTGGTGGTGGTTATGGGTTATATTAAACTACCTTGGGTCCTGTTCCAGAATCTGTGGTCATAGAATGATCCCCCAGCTGTTCACCTTCGTGGGTCAGGCAGTGGGGGCTGGCACTCCCCTCTGGGTCCAAGGAGGGGGAAGAAGTCACTGGCACCACACAGGTCTGCTGGGCTCACCTCTCAGTTGGTCGGGCAATGATGGGGACTGGGGCTCGGGGCTGGCACTCCCCTCCAGGTCCAAGGAATGAGGCAGGGTCACCAGCGCCACATGGGTCTGCTGGGCTTACCTCTCCAGGTTCTTTCTTAAAGGAATTATTCTCTCCCTCTGTTGAGAGGTTCTGGGTCTATGAAATGGCTTAAGTCTGGAAATTGGGGAAGAGACTGTGAATCCCTGCTATGTGTATACAAGTTATATGTCTGCACTCAGGCCTAGAATTTTTCTGCTAATATATTGCCACTAACCTCTTAGTAAGTGTCTTAGTTTATTCAGGCTGCTATAACAAAATGCCTTAAATTTAGTAGCTTATAAACAGCAGAAACTTCTCACAGTTCTGGAGGCTGGGAAGTCTAACATTAAGGCACTGGCAGATTTGGTGTCTGGTGAGGGCCCCCTTT